TTTTTTTTTTTTTTTTTTTTTTTAAAGCAGCCAAAAGGCGAGGCCCTGGAGCTCTGCAAGTTCCCAGACGCTAGTCCAGAGTTCTTCCCTTGCTCAAGTTTGTACAGTGCATTTCTAGACATGAATGGAATCACGTGTGGTTTGGCTGAACTCTTGAGAACTGACCAACTAGAAGAATGAAGTATTTGGGGGAAGGGAGACTGGTTACGGGGGCAAGGGGCTAGAAATCTTTTAGGATGAAACTGGGGAGGAAGCCCAAGTTGTGAGGGTTGAGCTAGAGAGTCAGCAGCAGGCATTTAGATTGCCAAGCAGAATTAGTGGCAAGGGGAAGCGGTTATGATAAGAAAAGAGGCCCACATGTCCGGGGTGGGGCTGACGTGTTAAGGCTGGTGTCTTAGTTTGGGTTTCCGCCGAAGCTGACCCTGAGACAAGGATTGGGAAATGCAGAGAACATAGCTAGAGAAAGAGGGTGTGTCGCCAAGTCAGCTTTCACTGCGAGGACGAGCCATGAGTGAAGCGAGCACGCCTGGGCCCGGGCAGAGATAAGAGCCTGAGTCTTTGGACGGCCACTGCCATCAAGAGTTGCCACAGATTACAGCACCTCAGCCTGCCTCTGCAGGCATCAGGGAAAGAGATATGGAGACAGGTCATCACTCTGAAGCGGAGGGATGTGGAGGGGGCATTCACGGTGTTTGCTGTAGCTGGGGACAGTGTGTGTGTGTGCGTGTGTGCATAGACTTAGAGGATGTGATATTTGCTAAAATTATCCAGGGGCTTCTCCCTAAGGCCGTGATTAATCAGGTAAGGCTGTTGTCTTCTGAATAGGATTTAGGGATAGAGTTAAGGTTACAATGGAGATTAGAGAATTGGAGTCCTATTAAGGGTACTCCAAGAGACTTCATCCTGCCCAACTTGCACAGCTAGTAGGTGGTAAGCCCCTGCAGGCGCTGGGCCTTGGCTGTGATATTTCAGGGCCCCTTAAGAGGACAGAGGGCAGGACGGCCTGGTCCAGGGAGGATGGGTTCCACAGCCTCCCTGCCGCCAGCGGCTTCCTCCATGGCAGCCGGGAACGGGGCTACGAGGAGGCTGTGCAGCTGCCATCTGCTCTCTTGGCTCCATTGCCTGGCAACGGCCTGCCCAGGTCTGCTCTTTGCTCTGAAGGAGGCGGCATTCCTCCACGGCCCACCGGGCAGGATGGGGAGCCGAGCCCTCGCCAGGGCTGGACCACATGATGGATTCAGTGATTATGACTTTCTGATGTGGGGGCTGCTCAGGCATGTAGCAGACGCAACCCCATCTGGTGCGTTTCTTGAAAGAGCTGCTGGAAGGAAAAATCTACATACTGCTAATGCTGATGCAAGTGTGTTTGTGTGTGTGTGTGCAGGGGTGTGTGTGTGCACACAGGGACAAGTGTATACTCAGGGGTGAACCAAGGCATGGTGTGTGTCCATGCATCCAGGCATGGCTATGAGCACTTGGAGTTCAAAATCATTGTTTTGAACTTTCTCATCAATATATAACCATGCTACTGTTTTCTGAATGCTTTCCACATGCCAGTAACTCCAGTAGGTGCTTTGTACACACTGGTTATTGTAATTCATATAAACCTTACAGCTACTCTGAGTAAGGATTTTTATCTCCTGGATCCTGTAGTTGAGGAATCCAAATTCTTGAAGCTACATGAGCTGCCCAAGGACTCAATTTGCAAATGGCAGAGCTGAGATTCCAGACCATGTCTCTCATTTCATGGAGCATGATATTTCATGTCTATCCCTTCCTAAATCTTCT